GTGTGTGTGTGTGTGTGTGTGTGTGTGTGTGTGTGTGTGTGTGTGTGTGTGTGTGTGTGTGTGTGGAAGGGGGGGATGAAACACCAAACCAATGTGCCAGCATCTGGACAATTAAGATTTATCTGTCTTTTCATGTCTCCCAAGAAGTATTGTTTTTTTATCCTTCTGCACAAGAATACATACTTCTATCCACACTCAGATAAAGAATCAATAAATTGAGTGAATTTCAATTTTGTAAAATTCGTATAAAGTCTTCACACAACTATTTTCATGTCCTCAAACCGGCATTTTTTTCTATTGATAATACTATACCTCTGCGTACGTAATTATAACGATGAAATTATTGTTGAGGTCATTTCAAACTCGTATTTCTTGATAAATCATCGGACCTCCCACGCCTCCTGAATCTTCTCCTTGGACTTTTTTAGTGGACTCCTTCGTTAAAGAGTGCCACTTACATGAATTTTCTCCCACGAAGAGCCCTCGTGGAGATACCTGGACAATACAAAATATAAAACATCAATTCATTACAGCACTGCATCGTTTCCCCAGGCCTCATCCACATAGGTATTCTGCTGATTTCACAATAAGCTGTTAATCAAAATAATGTCCATGAGTTGAAGTTAACAGATTACTTAGACGCCACATCTTATTTAGTACAGAAAAGAAAACACCCTCCACTTTGCCTCCTGCCCCTTTCAGGTGACACGCGATGGTGTGTTGCTCAAACAGTGTAACTAGAAGGTAAAGTTCAAATCTTTTTTAGTTCCAAAACCGTTACAGATGTCGTTCTGTAGGGCATCAATTCACCCTTTTATTGCTAAAATGTTTCCATCAGCATTTTGTTTGTTTGTTTCTTTGAGTAAAGAGAATCACATTGACACAACAATTGTCATTTAGCGCTGAGAAAAACAGAGAGGCAGACAGACAGAAGTAACAGAGGCAAAGTATAGAAGTAGGACCTACCTCCAACTACCCGCCATCAACGTTTGCACGGATGAAAATTTTAAACGAATAAATAATAATAATAATAAATAGCATTCGTATAGCGCATATCCCCGGTCAACAGCAGGCTCAATGCGCTTTACACTATATTATTACCCCAGCAGACCATAGAACACTCCGAAACATTTTCAGCTTCCCGGGAAGCATACAGCGAAAGCAGGTGATTAAACGCTCAAACACTAACAAACTGACAAGATTTTTCGCTGTCTATAGCCGGGTACCCATTCCCACCTGGGTGAAGTGAGGAAAATTTTGGTAAAGTGCCTTTCCCAAGGACACAACGTCGGGTCCCTGACGGGATTCAAACCCACGATCTTATGGCTGCGAGTCCGAGAGCCTAACCACTAGGCCACCGACGCCACAATTCACCCTTTGATAATAATATTATCTTTATCTTTTTAGATAATAAACCACCCCCGGCGGTACTACTGACTGAAGTGTCTTTAGGCCATTCCCTAAGGGGGTCATTAACCATGTTCTTATGCACAGTAGAATTGTAAATGTAAATGGGCTGATTCATCAATGTCATGCTCATAACTGTGCCTGAACCGCAACAGGGAACTGCTGCTTTTTCTTTCCTAATCCTTACCATTGTCATTTTACCTGTACTTCTTTTGTATGTTTGTCACACTCTTGTGACCTACTATTTCCGTCGTGCTTCGATATTCGAAGTAGACTTTGCGCTGTTGAAGCTAGGGAGTGAGCAGAGTAAGCCTGATTGCCTGTAAGGACTTCTCTGTTGACATCCACCCCATGGCGCTCATATGATCTTATACTGTTTCGAGCGCTGTAAAACCTCTACTAAAACAAACTACAACATTAATAATGAATAACAGCACACGTTGTCATTACTTCTCTCAGAATATCCCCAAAGAATCTTTTCCCCTTGTACGAGAGAAAATGGCAGAGAACCAGTTTGGGAGAACACGAGCAAGTACATGCTTCTACACAGCTGTGTAGAGGTTAACATCCTTCCACAGAGCAAGGGTAGACATTTATTATAACAAACGGAACTGCGAACTAAACCTTGCTAAAATCAATTTCGTTTCGGAAACATTTTTTTTGCCCGTAGAGATGTTTTTTCCCAGACCATTGTTACAGGGATAGGTCTAGAGTAGAACACCATAGGTATATTTCACATTCAACCGAGTCGGTTTTCTGGGAGCTTTTAGATAAAGCCGTTATTTGAAAGAAAGGCATCAAGGGGCATCTTACAACACAGTTTTGTTACGTTTCTTTATGTCTCTCCTAACTTTTAATTGAAATTTTACTAATTTTAATGCCTCAATCTTGGTTCTGATTAGAGGGTTCTCTTTATCTTTGATTTTCTCAAAACGTTAAAAACTATGACTGAGGTCTCTTTGCTTTCGTGTTCAGCCTTCAAAGGTCCTGACATTCTATCGCTTTAGCACTTAATTGCATCTTTTTGTCTGTTTAGAAACTTTATGAAGTCATCATTTGATTTTATTCCAGTCATTAATGTTTGTGTGTTGTTACATACGTAAAGCTCTGAAACTCGTCGCGCAAAAAGCCAAAGTACCAGCCGCGGCTAATAGTTTTTTAAAACGTAAAGGAATATGCATAAAAAACTTTAAATCTGTTTTTCTCATTTCATGATATTGTAATATTTTGGAGCTCTTTTCATCATAGCCTCGGTTCTAGAACAGATATCTTCGAAATTTAAATATCAGAATACTCAGACGTCTTTGCAATGAGATGGTTTCAAAAAGTCAAAATGTGAAGATGGCGACACATTTCCAAATTGTCTCATTTTGTTTTCACGCTGTCGCTCCCCCCAACCCCCCCCCCCCAACAAACAAAAACAACAACAAAAAACATAACAACAACAAACAAACCCACTCACACAGACACATGTGTCCTTGGGAAATGCATTTTGCACCCAGGTGGGAATTGGTACCTGGCCTTGAGCAGGAAAGTTGTTTGTTAGTGTTTTAGTGCCAGCAATCCGCTGCTTGCACTGTATGCTTCCCTGGAAGCCGAGAATGTTTCTGGGTTTTAGAGCCTGCGGGGGGTAATAATAGTTGCAAAGCGAATAGAGCATGCTGTAGAGAGCGTGGATGTGCTCCTTATAAGTACTATTTAAAAAAATTAATTATCAATATCCCCAATTTGGAAGCGACAAATGAGGTTTCTAGGACGCTTAAATCAGCATAAAGGATTTGAACATCAATAAAAAAGGGAGGCAAACGAGGCAGGAGGAGAACCAGAGAAATGCATTTGGAAAACCTGAACACAAGGGTGAGAGAGAATGGTGGATGCTCTGGTCTGGTTTTCTCGTTGTTTCGTTTCAAGTATCTTTACCTTCATCTCTCCTCTTCCTACATGTTGTATGCTAATATGTTGTAACATCCCCAAACTTCGGCACATGTATGACCTATCTGTGTTGTAAGTGCCGTAAAACGCTTACTAAGAGAGAGAAAGAAAGAAAGAGAAAGGAAGAAGGAAAAATGAGAGAGAGAGAGAGAGAGAGAGAGAGAGAGAGAGAGAGAGAGAGAGAGAGAGAGAGAGGAAGAAAAACAGAGAGATAGAGAAAGCGAAAGAGGAAGAGGGAGAGAAATCGAGAGAGAAAGAGAGAGAGAGAAAGAGAGAGAGAAAGAGGGAAAGAGAGAGAGAAAGAGAGAGAGAGAGCGAGTGCGAGAGAACGAGAGAGAGAGAAAGAGAGAGAGAAAGAGAGAGAGAAGGAGAGAGAGAGAGAGAAAGAGAGAGAGAGAGAGAGAGAGAGAGAGAGAGAGGAGGGGGGGAGGGGGGCTGACGCAGACGATCATTACTGGAACTTATGGGCTCTCGCGGTCTAGAGGTTAATGTGTTCGCCTCTCACTCAAAGGTCCCGGGTTCGAATCCGAATAGCAACGGAAGACTTTCTTCTCTAAAATCTTCTCCTTTCACACTCTTTCCTGCTTTTAACAATGTTCTGTCGTCTGCTTTCGCTCCCACTTTCTGCCCCCACCCCATCACCTCCTTCACCCCCTCCTCTGGGCCCTTGACTCTTTCTGCAGCCTTTCTACTGCTACTCTTTGGCTCCTTCTTACTGCTGTCTTTCAATCACACCCCTGATGTTATAGCAGATAACACCTAACCTTCTCGGATAAGGGCGAATAATATCGGAGGTCCGGTGTGCAAGTTGGGCACGTTAAAGACTCCTTGTAGGTCCGAAATCGATAAAATTAGGCTTCGGCCGCTACACGGGCAAAATTCAAAATTCCTACAAAACTAAAAATGTCTTAAAATGTCCCACGCGCTCATATCATCTTATGCAGTTACAAGCGCCGTAAAACACTGACCCCCCCAAAAAATCAAACAAAACCATCGGAAGTTTATACAATTGAATCTTTGTACTATTGGGTCTTTGTACAACTGGAAAAGGGGTCTCTCACGGCCTAGAGGTTAAGGTGTTCGCCTCTCATTCAAACGTCCCGCATTCAAATCCGGGTGAAACGGAAAAAAACATTCTTTTCTAAAATTGTCTCCTTTAACCTCCTTTCCTGCTCTCTAGCAATGTTCTGTCGTCTGCTTACGTCTTCACTTTCTGCCTCACCTCCTTTGCCCCCTCCTCTTGGCTCCTGACTCTTTCTGCCGCCCTTCTATTGCTATTCCTTGTCTCCTTCTTACTGCTGTCTTTCAGTCAAACCCCTGATCTTATGGAAGAAAGGATCTAAACCTAGCCTTCTAGGATAAGGGCAAAAAATCTCGGAGGTCCCGTGTGCAAGTTGGTGGTCTAAAATCGATAAAAGTAGGCTTCGGCCGCAGCCCGGGCAAAATTCAATATTTCCTACAAACTGAAAAGGTTTAATGTGTCCTGCGCGCTCATATGACCTTATGCAGTTGCAAGCGCCGTAAAACAATTACCAAAAAAAAAAAAGAAAAGAAAAACAACCCCATCCCCCCCCCAACAAAACAACACAAACAAACAAAAACGAAATCAAACAAAACCATCCGAACTTTGTACTATAGGACCTTTGCACCTTTGGATCTTTGCACTATTGAAATTTTATACTACTGGGAATCCCCAGACAGTGAAGATGGCCCCTCAAATAATGTCGGCGGTCCTGCTCTCCCTGATGGCAGTGTCCACCCACGGCTTCTCAACAGGCGCTCAAAACAACAACACGAACCCCATGAGCGCATTCTCCTCCTCATGTGCATCGGGAAACTTTAGGTGAGTAAAACACGGAGAGAGAAAGATAGATAGTAGATAGATAGATAGAT